GTTTAGCAAGAAACAGCTTGTCATTTTAGTTCTGAAACCTATCTTATAAAAAATAATTTTTATAGAAGCTGTCAAAAGAGTCCTTATTTAATTGAAGCTCTTTTTATAGGTCCATCCTCATGTTTAAATTGCTAGGATGTTGAAATATGGTTTTAGATCCAATCTTGCTATAGGAGAAAACAATTTACGTGGCTGCAAATGAAAACAAAATTTCTGTGCTGTTTAGTAGTGCCACTGTGTACCTTGAAATGATGCCTTGAAGAAAAGCATTGAGGTACATCATGCTGGCCTGGTCAAACAATGTGGACATTGAGAGGACATTGACCTTTATGGCATGCTGTACACCTCCATAATAGGTAGCAAAATCTGGACATTCTGGGTCCACCTGAAATAATTAGAAGAAAATTAAAAACTTGTAAAAATCATTAGACAAACAAATTATATACATAATTTATCAGGTTAAATCTTCAGTATTTAGCTTTTGATATTTGTAATTCTTTAAATTTTTATATTTTCAATATAATATTAAAGTTATTAACAGCTATCCTTTTTGTTAACCAACAAATGAAATTAGAATAATTTACTATTACTAGGGAAAACAGATGTATACAAACAAAAAATATAGAATATAAAATGTTTTGATTTTCATTGAAATTAATTTTATTTTAATGTATAGGAATATAAAAACAAATTTAAAGGATAGATTTTAGTGGGCAATGGGGATATTCATAGTTTGTGAAGAAAAAAGTTGACTAGAAAGTTAGACTGTAGTGGCCCTCCTGTACATGACAGGAAGGTTGTGAAGAAAAAAGTTGACAAGAAAGTTAGACTGTAGTGACCCTCACCTTCCTGTACATGAGAGAGACCAGGTTGTTGTTGTTGACTGTGTTGGTGCTCAACACCTCCATGTATTCACCTGAGTGACCTACAAGAGTGACCAACATCACATTTATTTATGAATTATCTACAAGATTTACCAACATCACATTTATTTTAAGAATTATTTACAAGAATGACGAACATCACATTTATTTTATAAATTATCTACAAGAATGACCAACATCACATTTATTTTATGAATTATCTACAAGAATGACCAACATCACATTTATTTTTGAATTATCTACAAGAATGACAAACATGAAATTTATTTTATGAACCAACATCACATTTTTTTTCTGAATGACCAACAGAAGGACCAACATCACAATTGTTTTCTGAATGACCTACAATAATGACCAACATTAAGTTGATTTTCTGTTGATTTCTTGAGTATAATTTTTTAAAAAAGCTTATATAAATTTAAAAAAGTATTGTTGAGATTTTTATCTAGAATGAGTCAGAGTGTTTTATCTAGAATATGCCAGAGTGTTCTATATAGAATATGCCAGAGTGTTCTATCTTTCCAGTTGAGATTTGTATCTAGCATGAGTCAGAGTGTTCTATCTTACCAACATGTTTCTTGTCAACCAACTGGATTCCCCCTAGAGTAGCATATGCTGCGTAACCATGGACAGTAAGAGCTGAGTCTATCCTGAGCCTGTCTATTCGGAACATTAAATAGGCTTTTTCTTCCTTGTCCCATTCCTAGAATTGGATTAGAAAAAAATATGGTATTATTATTTTTTTCTTCATGGATAAAAGACAGACCAACTTAGGAAAAATGGAGTAAACTAAAGCTCCAACATTCAAAGATTATGTAAACAAAGTATAGACTAATTTTGGAAAAATTAAGAGAATCAAATATAGACATACGTTTGAAAGATGAAGTGAACCAAGTATAGACTCATTTTGGAAAAGTAAGAGAATAAAGTGTATACCCACCTTTAAAAGGTGAAATAAACCAAGTATATACCCACCTTTGAGGGGTGAACTCTACCAAATAGGCCTACAGACCCAACTTTGAAGGATGAAAATACAGACCCAACTTTGAAGGATGAAAATACAGACCCACTTTTGAAGGATGAAAATACAGACCCAACTTTAAAGGATGAAAATACAGACCCAACTTTGAAGGATGAAAATATAGACCCACCTTTGAAGGATGAAAATATAGACCCAACTTTGAAGGATAAAATTACAGACCCACCTTTGAAAGATTGAGGACAAGCTCCCCTAGTGAGACCCTCATCAGCATGTTGATTGTGTTGGCTACTGATGAATTATCATCCACTGGCTTAATGGTCAGCATGCTAAAGTTTTCAAATAAAAAGAATAATACAAATAAAAATGTTACAATAAAATTATTACAAATTTTAGTCTTAGATGATTATTTTGTTTCAAAATTCAATTTTAAATAACAGTTAAAATTAATAAGCATTACACTAATATCTGATTAAAAAACATTAACCAAGTCATAATAGAGCTCAGCTTTGAAACCTTTTGTCAAATTTGAAAAAGAATTAGGAAAAAAAACACAATTAAAATAAAATGGTATTTTGACAAATCTAAATTGTGTTTTATTCATAATAACATGTATATATTAGCACTTGAGAAGACTTCTGTGTAAATACATAATAAATTACACACTACAGTGTTATAGGTATTTTAGTGCAATGTAGGCCTACTTCTACTTGAAGAAAAACAAAACATCTTACTCTGACAGCCTATCCAGATCTTCATCAGAGTAGTCTGAGGCTGAGTAAAACGGTTCATCACCTGATGTAACATAAAGAAAGTTCTGGATGCTGGGTCTTTCTCTCATCTAAGCTTACATGCTTAAATCCTCGACTATCTCTGATTTAAGCTTACAATATAAAAACACTCTAAAATCTTCTAAACAAATTTTTACATTTTCTTTCATAAAAAAAGAATAGCTCAATTCTAAAAGTTGTATGCCCTAATGTTAACAATAAAACAATTTTAACAATGAAAAGACTTCATGGTTATCAATGAATCAACTGTAACAGATGCCTTGATGTTAATGATGAGAACATTCTCAAGCCATTACCTGTTGTGTACATGAGAGTTGGAACTTTGGACACCGACCTCCTGGGTCCATCCACACGGTCAAAGACTGGCCTCCCTAGCAGCAGCCTTTTGATTGACCTCAAACGCTTGACATCTGGGTCCAGCTGGGCCTCTGCTAAATCCTTTGGTCAAGGATTAGAATAATGTGATTAAAATATTTAAATCTATTTTATATATGTGGGTATAAGAAATATAATATTGCAGTTGATTTATTTTAGAGAAAGTTGATACAGATTGTTAAGGATTGAATAAATGTTTTTGGTGTGTGGTTAATTTAACATAAGCATATTTAATGTATTCAAAATTTTTCTCACGGAATGGTTTAATACAAGGCCCATCTATTGTTAAAAATTATCTAAAATTTTTTTTAAAAAGAAACTATGATGACTAAAAATGCATAATGAGACAGACAAAGCAAGTGAGTTTTCAGCCTCCAAAGAGCTTTTCACAGATAGTTAAAGTTTGGGTAACAACCGTTTATTTTAAAGGGATAGTGAACTAAGGAGAAACATCTAAATAATAAAGAAAAACTGCCTTTAATTCACAAAAAAAAACTGTATGACATAACATTCTTTTTAGAAGTTGTTCAAGGATTATCTAGAGGTTCAACTTTTATTCAGAGAAGGCCGGGAATGGATAAGCAAGGTTAACAAACATGTTTGTAGATGATGCGATGACAGGTTTGTATTGTTTACTTTTAGGAACTAGAGTTGGAAACCTTAACATGAAATAAAATAATGAAAATATAGAGCTGCATTGTCTGATCTAAAGTTTACCACATTAAGAACACTAAACAAGTTAACATGATATGCAGTTAATGACAAAAATATATGTTGAAATATAAGCTGGTTTCACATTCAACTTTATCTTGGTTTCAAAATAAGTTAAAAAACACATTACAATTTAAAAATGTTTTTCTTTAAACTAAAATTCAGTTAAGGATATTGCTAAGAAATGATGTTCTAAACACCTTTATTTCCACAGATAAGCTGCAGTTAACTACTTTATAGGCTAGTAATTAATTTTTAAATATAAAATAAATAATTAAGTAATTGCTACTAGAGTGCATAGGGCATAACGTGCAATCAATTTTTTGTTGTTGTTTCATGCAAAGTGTAACATACTTATGTGGACAGATTTTAAAAACAAAAATATTTAATCTTAACATGCAAACATAAAATTAAGAATGTGTTGTTATATTAATAAAGTCTAAACATTATGATTTCATACTATTAATTTTCTTTTAACTTAATTAAAAAGCAACTATATTTCTATGTGATCCTGTTTACAGTAAAGTAAAAACTAAAAAAAAAAAAGATTTACCCCAAAATCTACCAAAATGCAATTGAAAAGGTAAAATTCAGACTAATATTTTCTTGTTTGAGAAAAATAGGAAGCAAACAGATTGTAAATAACAGCCTTTTTTAGGGAACAGAATACACAGCAACATTCTCGTATGACTTTCTCTACCTTTAGCATAAGAACCAGTTGCTAAACAAATGTAAACATGTGAAGAAGCAATAATAAAAACAGTAAGCTAAACGTGTGTGGGAATCTCACCAAATACATTGATGCATCTTCATAAATTGATAATTCACGATTCTACAAGAAAATGTTAAAAGTCTGATAAAACAGTAAATAATGTCTACATTTATTGGGCTCTTTTTGGAATTGAAAAAATTTAAAAACTCTGTTTTGGTTAAGTTTTTTAAAAAGTGTAAAATTAAATGCTGTTTGAATTAGTAAAAACAAACTGCAGAGCAAATTCCTGTTAATTTCAATGCTCAATGATCAACATAAGTTTTATTTAGTTTAGCATAATAAAAATAACATTCAAAGGAGGTAAATATGATAAAACAAACATTACTAAGTTATTAAAATTTAAATAATATAATAATATGGCTGAAATATTTAGAAACATTTTTAATTATTTGATTGAAATATTTTCAACATTATTTCAAGTCATTTCTTAATCTTTAGAAGTCATTGCATCATTGCATTCTTATAAAACTTGAATGTATTACACAACACCTATAATCCACATAATAAAATATACTTCATAAAAGCTGCTGTCATAAATATCATTGTGATAAAAGTAGTTACAAATATATTTGGACAGCAGACTTAAATAGCATAACTTCAAACTGATTATCTGCAATATGAGTAAATGATCAAACAAACTTCACTAGACAATATCACAGAGGCTTTTTTCACCAGACAATACCATAAAGGTAAAAGTACTAGACTACAAAAGGTGAATCCACAAACACAAACAACAAAAATCTTTCAGTTAAAAAAAATGTAAAAAGAATAATGTGTTCATTATTTTCTCGCTTATTTTAAATTACAAAAGTATTTCTTCACTCATAATTTAAAAGTAAAAGTAAAAAAAAAAATTTCTGTGTTATAATTATTCCTTCTAATGCATTCGACTTTGTAATAAAATTTATGTAAAAGTTCAAGAAAAATATTAGTCATTGATACAGGCCTATCTATTCACACATCTATATACAAGAATGTGTTAAGAGTGAGTACAAGATGAAGACTGACCAGGTGGAATGGTGAGAGTGTAGCTGGCCCGTGGCTGTCCACCATGTCCTCCCCTATGGTGGCCATGCTGGTGCTGGTGGGGATGGGGAAGTTCCTGAAGAAGGTGGCTAGCAGCAGCATCCTCTTGTCTGAGATGTTGACCTCCAGGGAAGGAACTTTGGCCTCCAGTTTGTTCCTGGTTAGTGGGGAGGTACACATTTTATTTTGTATGGTAGTCCACACATCTATTTTATTTTGTATGGTAGGCCACACATCTATTTTATTTTGTATGGTAGCCCAAACATCTATTTTATTTTGTATGGTAACCCAGATATCTATTTTATTTTGTATGGTAGCCCAGACATCTATTTTATTTTGTATGGTAACCCTAACATCTATTTTATTTTGTATGGTAACCCTAACATCTATTTTATTTTGTATGGTAGCCCACACATCTATTTTATTTTGTATGGCAGCCCAAACATCTATTTTATTTTGTATGGTAACCCACACATCTATTTTATTTTGTATGGTAGGCCACACATCTATTTTATTTTGTATGGCAACCCACACATCTATTTTAATTTGTATGGCAACCCACACATCTATTTTATTTTGTATGGTAGGCCACACATCTATTTTATTTTGTATGGTAGGCCACACATCTATTTTATTTTGTATGGTAGCCCACACATCTATTTTATTTTGTATGGTAACCCACACATCTATTTTATTTTGTATGGTAGCCCACACATCTATTTTATTTTGTATGGCAACCCACACATCTATTTTATTTTGTATGGTAACCCACACATCTATTTTATTTTGTATGGTAGGCCACACATCTATTTTATTTTGTATGGTAGGCCACACATCTATTTTATTTTGTATGGTAGGCCACACATCTATTTTATTTTGTATGGTAGCCCACACATCTATTTTATTTTGTATGGTAGGCCACACATCTATTTTATTTTGTATGGTAGGCCACACATCTATTTTATTTTGTATGGTAGCCCACACATCTATTTTATTTTGTATGGTAGCCCAAACATCTATTTATTTTATTTTGTATGGTAGCCCAGAAATCTATTTTATTTATGTAAATCCAGCCATTTATTTAATTCAATAATGTTAATTAGGTAAGAAAAATAAATTACAATAAGATGGAATCAAGTAACAATTGTATTGATTGTTTACCTAGGTAGCTGTGTGAAGTCAGGCTTGACAGCATTAAAGAAAGTGATGATGAGTTGGACACTGGGCAGGATGTGGAACTCTGAGTTGGTTTGGATCTGTGCAGTATGCCAGTCATCAGCTGCAAGGTAGCAGGGTTGTTAGTTGATGTAGATCTGTTAGTTTTGTTGGTGATGGTTTGGTTAGAGGGTTGTTAGTTGATGTAGATCTGTTAGTCTTGTTGGTGATGGTTTGGTTGTTTTACTAAGTGGGGAAGGTTGTTAGTTGATGTAGATCTGTTAGTCTTGTTGGTGATGGTTTGGTTAGTTTTACTAAGGGGAAGGTTGTTAGTTGATGTAGATCTGTTAGTCTTGTTGGTGATGGTTTGGTTAGTTTTACTAAGGGGAAGGTTGTTAGTTGATATAGATCAGTTAGTCTTGTTGGTGATGGTTTGGTTAGTTTTACTAAGGGGAGGGTACATCCATTAGTCTTGTTAGTGATTTTAGTTAGTCATATGGTAGGCTTGTCAGTCAGGGTTTAGTTCACTTAATGTTGTGTTGTGCTGATGTAGTTCGGTTAGTCTTGTTGTTGATGTAGAGGTAGAATATATTATGAAAGTCTAGAAATACATTTAAATAGCGATTTCATTAAAGAGTGACCTAAATTGAATTGTTGCTATATGTTTTCCAGAAGAACAATTTTTAATCATATTTTATTTAACCAGCTCTTGTATTGAAGTTATATTGAGCTGGCTGAAAAAGAATAAACCAACAGCCACAATATCTCCACAGCATGTGTGACCTCAACACCGCAACATCACATACAATCTCAATACAGGACAATCTAACCACAGTATTGGCTACCTTTCTCAACATTCGTTTATTGCAATAACAAATTACTATAATATTAAGTAAATAAATTATTTTTTTTATTAATTAACAAATAGGTATAATATTTTTAAAAACTTATATTAATAATTTTAATATAAATCTAACCTGAGTCTGCCAATAGTACTTTCACATCGCTGATCTTAACATTAAACTGGTCATACAGCCTAGACTCAATTTCTGACATTGTGGCATCCTTGATTCAAGTGAAATATATTTAGTACAATTCATACATCATAGATCCAAAAACAGGAAAGGTATTTAGCATAATGTAGATTCTATCAAAATTGCAATATCTAGTAACAACTGTAATCAACAACTCCTATCAGGTTCTCAAACAACAACAAAAAAACCTACACAAACTGAGCTTTGCATTTATTTTACAAGGCTGCCAAAACCTAACACAGTTCTTTACATTTTATTAGCCCATAATACTAGCAAAAACTTCCATCTAAACCAACTCTTTAGTAAATGATATGTACTTAGATTCTACCTTGCATGTTAAACATTAAAAAACATGTCCATTTAAACCAAGTAATGATATGTACTTAGATTCTACCTTGCATGTTAAACATTAAAAAACATGTCCATTTAAACCAAGTAAATGATATGTACTTAGATTCTACCTTGCATGTTAAACATTAAAAAACATGTCCATTTATACCAAGTAAATGATATGTACTTAGATTCTACCTTGCATGTTAAACATTAATAAAACATGTCCATTTAAACCAAGTAAATGATATGTAGTTAGATTCTACCTTGCATGTTAAACATTAAAAAAAACATGTCCATTTAAACCAAGTAAATGATATGTAGTTAGATTCTACCTTGCATGTTAAACATTAATAAAACGTGTCCATTTAAACCAAGTAAATGATATGTACTTAGATTCTACCTTGCATGTTAAACATTAAAAAAAACATGTCCATTTAAACCAAGTAAATGATATGTACTTAGATTCTACCTTGCATGTTAAACATTAAAAAAAATATGTCCATTTAAACCAAGTAAATGATATGTACTTAGATTCTACCTTGCATGTTAAACATTAAAAAAAACATGTCCATTTAAACCAAGTAAATGATATGTACTTAGATTCTACCTTGTATGTTAAACATTAAAAAAAACATGTCCATTTAAACCAAGTAAATGATATGTACTTAGATTCTACCTTGCATGTTAAACATTAAAAAAAACATGTCCATTTAAACCAAGTAAATGATATGTACTTAGATTCTACCTTGCATGTTAAACATTAAAAAAAACATGCATGAGTATTTCTCTTACCTCCAGAGACACATCTTTTGGCTGTAACTCACTCTCTATTCGCAAGGTGCCCAAATCAATAATTAGCACATTGCCACCTCTACAAATATATAAAATTGAAGCTAACTTAACAAAAAAATATCAAATTACACCTTTGTTCACTTGGAAATCAAATTCACAAGATAGTAGGATGTGTAATTTAATTTATAATTTAATTTTAATAAAATTTAATTAATTAATTTAATTTTAATAAAATATTTTATTTAACACTGCATCCTATATATTGTAAATTATAAGCACTGGTTAAAAAGTAGGCCTATTTTACATCAGACATATTGTATAGTCTCAAACATTTGTAAAGCTAAATGATAATAGAAAACAATATTGTAAAATAAGTTTTGGACACAACTGACCTATGTAGAGTTCCATATTCTGGCACCACAATGTATGGAGATCTCATGTTCAAAGCTATGTGAATGGTCTGTTCAAATATTCAACACATTTTAAAATGTAAAATTAATGATTAATTACTTCAAATCAAAAGCATAGCTAGGGTAGGGCAGGTGGGGGAATTGCCCAGGGTGCAGGGGGGGCACCATATAAGGTAGAAAAAATAACTGGTTAAAAAATAGATTGCTATTTGGCTTGATGGACTGATTTAACTATTTTCAATGTCAACTTTGAGACACCAAAATACAAATGGTTAAGAAACAGTAAAATGAGGGAGGGAGTGAGTAAAATTGAAAGTTCGCCCATGCCATCAGAATGGGTGGCTATGCTGATTGCTTCAAATATTTTTAAATTTTTAAATCAATTAATTGAAATAAAAAAAACTCAATTTTTCTTCCTATGAAGGGAGTCTAAGAATTAAGGAAACAAAATGATATAAAATTAGACCACATTTTCAGGCTTGCTATTAAGTTTTTTAGAGTCAGCTCACCGTGTGTGTTTCAATGATGTACTGTAGCCCTGCCTTGCTGACCGAGGCTACACTGGTCAAGGTCTCCACTGCAGCAGATCTGATATCCAGCCCTCCATGGGGCAGCTGGAAAAATGCGGTCACTTCAGAAATTGAATGCTGCAAGGGGAAATCATTAGTTAGACTCTTTAGATAAAACAGTTATAAAACAAATAAATAACAAAAAACACCTTCTTGTTGTATTAGTTGAAGCACATTTATAAAATATAACAGAACATTAAATAAACAAATTCACGGAAGAAAAAAAAAAAGTAGGCCTACACTAAAATAGGTATTCTTTCTTTAAAAATGGAATGAAGATGTACTTTTTAAAAATATCAATATAAATGTATATTGTGGTTTAATAGAGAGGTCCATTGAACACACTCAAATCTGGTGATAGCTTAATTCAGATGGATAAAAACCAATGTTCTTCTGCTTTGATTAAAGAAAGATGTAACTCTACTAAAGTTTATAAAAAAAAACCCATCAGGTCTTAGGGAGTCAGTGTAATTTAGTTTGAATTCACTAGAAGAAATTAATTATGTTGTAGAAAAAATTTAAAGCACAAACCTCGTCATAAACTATTTCAACTGGCTGCACATTCATTCTGAGTGAGTAGTCAGCTTCAATGTACAGGGGCTTGGACTCAAAGTCCAGTGTGAAAACTTGGTTGACAGAGGGCGCTGTAGGGAGGCACAATTCTGTTTTATTGGTATGGTTATTGGAGTTAATATTTGGCAACATTGCTGGGGTAAAGGTAGTGTATGATAGCTTGAGTGATGAAAGTCACAAATGATTCATGTTTTAAACAGTTAAACAAAAGCTTACAATGTGCAAGAGAAAAAAAAGAAAAAATTTGTTTAAGTTTATCATAATATAGAATAAAAAAACTATTTTAAAGTGGAATTATGTAAATCTTATAGTTTAAGAATCTTAGTTTTAGAATCTTTTAGTAATAATTTTGTACATTTGAAATAACCATGTCTTTTCAAATTGAATTTCAGGATTAATCAATCTTATTTAGCAGTAAGGCTTTTCTCATTTTAAAATATATGAAAGAAAAGTTCCTATCAACCTACCATAGACACCAATATCAGATGTTAGAATAGGAATCAGCTCATGTTCTATAGAGGCTCCTTCCACAGCAAAGCTTTCTGTGTTGCATGAGATTCTAAAAATAGTTTTTAAATAATTTCTTTAAATATGTACATTAAGGGAAATATTTTAAACGATGAATCACTTTCTTATAAAGTAAAAAAAAAATTGGTCAACTAATATTTAAATTCAGCCTCAATTTGTATTAATGAACTCATTGTTATAATTCACAAAAGAAAAACAGGCAAGACAATAAGTTTATTACAGTATGAACAATGAAAATTAATTTTTTGTTGAAATAAATGTAATGTTAACATTTTTTTTTACCTGAAAGCTTCGTTGCCTGGACGATGTTCAAAAGTGGAGAGAAGATGGGTCACGGAAACCTGGAGAATTTTCTTGCTGTAGTTGACCATAGACACACAGCATCTCTTAAGTATCACTTGGATCTTTGATGCAACATACTGAAAGTAATCAAGTTCAGCAACATACTGAAAGTAATCAAGTTCAGCAACATACTGAAAGTAATCAAGTTCAGCAACATCCTGAAAGTAATCAAGTTCAGCAACATCCTGAAAGTAATCAAGTTCAGCAACATACTGAAAGTAATCAAGTTCAGCAACATACTGAAAGTAATCAAGTTCAGCAACATTCTGAAAGTAATCAAGTTCAGCAACATACTGAAAGTAATCAAGTTCAGCAACATCCTGAAAGTAATCAAGTTCAGCAACATACTGAAAGTAATCAAGTTCAGCAACATACTGAAAGTAATCAAGTTCAGCAACATCCTGAAAGTAATCAAGTTCAGCAACATACTGAAAGTAATCAAGTTCAGCAACATCCTGAAAGTAATCAAGTTCAGCAACATACTGAAAGTAATCAAGTTCAGCAACATCCTGAAAGTAATCAAGTTCAGCAACATACTGAAAGTAATCAAGTTAAGCAACATACTGAAAGTAATCAAGTTCAGCAACATACTGAAAGAAATCAAGTTCAGCAACATACTGAGAGTATGATAGTATAAAAATAAACACAAATGTAGTCTTAAACACAAAAAACCTTTTTCATCTTCTCTGCATCTGCAACTTTTATAACACTGGTTCTAAAGATATTAAATTTCTTTTTTATTAAATGTCTTTTTTGCAGCCATGGTGATGGCAAAATAAAAAGTACGTGTTTTTAATCTATGTTGAAATAATAATCGAACCCATCTCGTCAAATTTGAGTGCCTCCATTAGAATTATATAAACAATATTTCCCACCTTTTTGGGATAAGCCTGGTTGTTTAATGACTCATCATAACCTATCCCTGCATAGAGGCTTTCTTTCTGCTCTGCTGTCAGGTTTGATAGCCAATCTTCTGAAATTTTTAAATTATGTAATTAGATTTTTAAAAATCAGTATTACTTAAAGCAAAAAATGCACTTCTTAAAAAAAAAATTAAATGGGCAAATTATTGAAAAAAGTTGTCTTTAGGGTAAGAACATCGTAGCTGTATAAAGTGTTGATGTTTACTTTTGGGTTTATCCACCTCCACTGTAACATCTTCTTCATCACTGCTACCAAACCATGAGCTGAACCATCCAGTTTTTTTCTTTACTGTTCTTTTGGCTCTGTCAGGAGCTTCTCCAGCAAACTGGCAATATAAAAAAAAACAACGATATGCCAGATTTCGTCAAATCAACAATCATATCTTTATTTTGATTTGATAATAAGATGATGACCAAAAAAGAATTAATTTGGAAATGATATTTTTAAAAAATTCCTATAACTTTTAAAATTGTATACATTAACCAGTGTCAAAATAGCTAAATTGCTGTATTGAATAATTCAATATTTTTCTTTAAAATTCAGTACAAGCCTACAATCTAAAACCTACTCATACAGTTTTTGTAGTTTATTTTAAAATAATATGTGCAGAACATCAACATTTTGATACAATTTTTGACTTACTTCAACTGCATTACACATAGTAATCACTGACCAAATAGAAAACAACAAAGAAATCTATAACCTCAAGTTTTGCTTGAGTCCTGGCAATGAGAATGTTTGTAACATCTAAAGCATCTTCCAGCTGTTTGAGTTTATCCTGGGTGGATTTTGTCTCAGGTTCCTCCAAATGTTTCTTGTAGAGATTTTTGTACTTCTTATATTTAGACCTTCAAAATTTATAATCTCACATTAGAAACATACATTTAATGAAACTAGAAAGCAAAAACTAACCAACTTAGTACTGTAATTTAACTTTGAAATAGCTGATACATGCACAAAATGGAATTATGAAATAAAAATATTACTGTGTCAAAATCACAAATTACAGGAAACAAATGGGTATGTATTAAAAATACTTTAAGAAGACATAATATAGGTTTAAATTGTATTAAAGGTCTAATCAGAGTTTCCGCCCTGTAAAAAGGTTTCTGTCAACAAGCAAACAAGCAGCTTCTGTATGATGAAATATTTAATCAGTATAGAAACTTGGTTATTTACTATGCCAATCTCTAGGCCTACCTGTGCTCTTTTATTCGAGGCCATGAAAATGGACGAATGACCTCTTCTAAAATAGCTGTGTAAGAATAAATCCACCAGGATCGAGGGCTGACTTTGAGGCTGATATTTGGATGATACTTGCGATACCTTTGGTTGACTCTCATCAGTTGGAAGGAATCATTGAGATTGATAAGGTTTAAAAACTGAAACATTTTCAAAAAGAGGAGAACTTAGTTTCTATGCTAAAGACATAAAATTATAAAACATGGATCGACTATATTATGAACATTGAACAACTGCATTAATTTTTTACATCTTTTATTTTGGAATCTATTTACATATGCTGGGCAAATTTGAGCTATAAAAACATGTTGTTGATTTCTGTTGTTTTAATCACCACCTATTTTGCTATTTAAACCAATAATAATGCTGAACAAAAGAAGCCTACAACAATTTTTTTTTTTAATTATTAACTAATATGTGCATGTAAATACTGAAAAAATATTGATTAACTAAAAAGTGATAATTATATATATTACCACTCAAAAGAAAAGCTCTAAATATGTTCAAAGGTTTGAAAGAACTAACATTCTTTTTGAAATATTTTTTCAAGCTTATTCAAACCAGCAGCTAATGGAAAATCTGACCTGTTGCCTTGAGAGTAGAACCTCCACCTCATCAACAGTGAAGTCCATGAAGAGTTTAGGCAAGGTGAAGTTGTTCTCAGTGTTGATGATCAGCCGGGCTTGGGCAGCCACTGGCTCCATGACTGGGGGAACAGGGGCAATGAGGTGCATCAAACAAACACTAAAACTTAACTATAGAAATAGTTCATCTTACAAAACAACACCAACTTGGAGAATAATGCTTGAGCTGCATCCAACAAGCTACCTTTACACAACTGGGTAATTGAGAAAAGTGGTTATACAGTCACTTAGCAAAATTTGGCCAGATAATTTAGTCTCTTCAGTCCATCAACAATTTTATTTATAAAACTTTTTTTTTGTTTCACAAGTTAAATTTCAGAAATTAACAAACCAGTTGATATAATAATAAAATATTCTTTAAATTTTATAAATGTGTTTCCTTTAGAGATATGAGAGAAACACTGCTAAGGGGGGTCTATCTATTAAGTTTTGAGCCATGAATACATAAATCAACGATCTCAGCACAATTTCAGCAATTCACTGCTCTGCCCTACTGTGTATTAATAGAGTATAGTATTTGGATTTGACCACTAACTTAGCTTGCAAAATAATGGCAATGTTCTTTAACATGTACTGTATTTAAGCAATTAACACTATGACTGTTTGTATGAGATTTTAATGGCATTTTTAAATGCATGACATCAACAGGATTAATAACATGTATCCATGTCTAATACAGTGTCAAAAAATCTCATTAAAAGCATTTTTTTCTAAAATATTCTGTTAAAACTTCCTGAATGTCTTGCTGTGAAAATGATCCCCGTTTTTAAAGAAATTCAAAACTCACTGAAATCAAGTTCCTCCTCAAAAATGGTGTGAGAATCTATTGATATTCTAAGAAGATTCTGGGGAAAAAATAGAACAAATACAAAATTCCAAAAAACATTTTAAGAGGGATTTTATATAAAGTGATAATATAATTTGAAACAAAAGAGAAATAAATTAAAAAAAAAAATAGTTTAGCTTTAAGAATAATATAACTTATTTATTTTTTAAGAGCAAAAAAATATATTAAACAATTTAACTGATATTTTAATTGCTAATATTTCAGTTTCAATATGATTATTAATAAGCTGAAAAGCTTATGAATGTTTAATTCTCAAATACTTATTAAAAAATTAAATAGCATCTTCCTAGGAACTACAACAAACAATAAGAAAAGTATTTTAGTTGATGTAGAACTGTAATTAATACAAGTACTAAGACATACCCGCCAACCATCTGTGTTAAGTCGAGACTTCAAGAGGTGTTGCTCTGGTACATAAGGGTTCCAGTACACAGAGAGTTCATCCATTTTCAGCATCTGTTACAGAGTAACCACACTGGTGTATTAACAAATTGAATGAGCTAAAACTATATATCTTTTAAAAATCATTTACATTACACATTCAACTTTGCCAAAAGTATGCCTACTAAAAATGTATTTCAACTGACATCTATCTGGAAACAAAATACTTGTGATTATAAAACGTTTAAACATAAAAAAAAAAATTCCGATTATAAAACTTTTAAGCAAGAAGACTTGTCATTACATAACAAGAAAAGGAGTTTTTTAAAGAATGTAAACTCCTGATATAAGAAATAATTTTAGTTTAAGCTTTCAAAATATTAAATATCTTATAATAGTTTAGCTATGTACAATTGATGTACTATTCTCTAAATAAATGTGGACAGCTGTGTTGAGGTGAAAATCTCTCATGTGTACAGGGAGTGATTCAGTGCAATCATGATCATTTAAATTGTAAGTAATGATCCAAAATAAAAAAAGAGGTAAACTAAAATAGAATGCTAGAAATATTTAAAAAGTACTGTCGTTATTGATATAGAATAAACACAGCCTTAGCAGGCATTGTAGTATTTTTAAAAACCCACAAAATTACAGCTAAATTTAATGTAACAGTGTTCGTAAATCAAAACAGTGACCCATTTTGTGTATCACAGTGACCCACCTTGTGTATCCCAGTGACCCACCTTGTGTGTCCCAGTGACCCACCTTGTGTATCCCAGTGACCCACCTTGTGTATCACAGTGACCCAATTTGTGTATTCCAGTGACCCACCTTGTGTATCCCAGTGACCCACCTTGTGTATCCCAGTGACCCACCTAGTGTATCCCAGTGACCCACCTTGTATATCCCAGTGACCCACCTTGTGTATCAGTGACCCACCTTGTATCCCAGTGACCCACCTTGTATCTCAGTGACCCACCTTGTATCCCAGTGACCCACCTTGTGTATCCCAGTGACCCACCTTGTATCCCAGTGACCCACCTTGTGTATCATGTTTGGCACTGTATCTGAGCCTCGAGGCTGCCAGTGAGAGTCTGTAGAACACACCAGCAGCTGCTTGAGCATGAGGCCACAGGCAAATGCGTGGTCTCCGTTGGTGATGGTATCCTCGTAGCGGACATGGATGTGGCGTATTGACAGCTGACATTTGAATAAAATACAAAGTTAATGTTGGGTATTGACAGCTGACATTTGAAATAAAATACAAAATTAATGTGGGGTATTGACAGCTGACATTTGAAATAAAATCCAAAATTAATGTGGGGTATTGACAGCTGACATTTGAAATAAAATACAAATTAATGTGGGGTATTGACAGCTGACATTTGAAATAAAATACAAATTAATGTGGGGTATTGACAGCTGACATTTGAAATAAAATACAAAATTAATGTGGGGTATTGACAGCTGACATTTGAAATAAAATACAAAGTTAATGTAGGGTATTGACAGCTGACATTTGAAATAAAATACAAAATTAATGAGGGGTATTGACAGCTGACATTTGAAATAAAATACAAAGTTAATGTAGGGTATTGACAGCTGGCATTTGAAATAAAATACAAAATTAATGTGGGGTATTGACAGCTGACATTTGAAATAAAATACAAAATTAATGTGGGGTATTGACAGCTGACATTTGAAATAAAATACAAAATTAATGTGGGGTATTGACAGCTGACATTTGAAATAAAATACAAGATTAATGTGGGGTATTGACAGCTGACATTTGAAATAAAATACAAAATTAATGTGGGGTATTGACAGCTGACATTTGAAATAAAATACAAAATTAATGTGGGGTATTGACAGCTGACATTTGAAATAAAATACAAAATTAATGTGGGGTATTGACAGCTGACATTTGAAATAAAATACAAGATTAATGTGGGGTATTGACAGCTGACATTTGAAATAAAATACAAAATTAATGTGGGGTATTGACAGCTGACATTTGAAATAAAATACAATATTAATGTGGGGTATTGACAGCTGACATTTGAAATAAAATACAAAATTAATGTGGGGTATTGACAGCTGACATTTGAAATAAAATCCAAAATTAATGCTGTGAAGGACAGACCGGCCAAAACAAATTGGAAATGGTCAGCTGTAGGAGCAACAGCAGGAATGATGTAGACTAGGGGAATCACCAGAACCAAGTACGATGGAGAGGTGTGGGTGCATCCCAATGCTTCACAAGGGATCCATAGGAATAATGGTGATAATGATGATGATAGATTATATGCGAAATAAATGACAAATTGATGTTGACGAATTAGCTAACTATTAATGCAGTAACTGTTCTTATTGAGGGACCATATCAGATATAGAGTTGTATTTATATGCTGTTATATTTTGAACGAACAACAGATATAGACTGGTTTATTGGCAATAAAAATATAAACAACTTATGTGAGCTGGTATAGTGATAATATTATATATATATATATATATATATATATATATATATATATATATATATATATATATATATATATATATATATATATATATATATATATAAATATATATATAAATATATATATAAATATATATATTAAATATATATATTAAATATATATATAAATATATATATATTAAATATATATATAAATATATATATTTGAAATCTACTGATCTAGCTGTCCAATACAAATTACAAACAATAATATACCTGTAGCCTGGTTAGCAGATTAACTGACAACTTCTCCACAAAGGTTGGGTTGTCATTGGCCTTCTTCACTGAAAGAGATCAAGAATGAATTCTTTTATTGATAAAATGCTTAATAAAGACAATGACATAAACTGTGGGTGTGTGGAGATAATTTGGCCCCAAACCGAACTTGCTGGTAGCATTAGTCAATACATTTATTGATTTTGTTTATTTAATACACTTAAAATGTTGCCACATAGGTAGCAGAGTTTCTTCCAGGCATCTCTTCGGCAGGTTAGAGCCCCACCCCCACAGAAAGTCTACCGCCCCCCCCCCCCTCCCCCCCCCCCCCGAACAAAATGAAATTTATAAAGAAAATATAAGCTTTTAACAGTGCTCCCCCCCCCCCTCCAGAGAAAAAAGTCTGGAAGAAACACTGATAGGTAGTAAATTTTAAAGGAGATTTTATTTGGCAATGTATAGACCTGGACTTATGATTGTAACTCACACTTTCCATTTAACAGCTAACAGATTGATGAAATGCTAGTTACATTGATCTGATTAGGGACAAGCCAACCCTCACTTGCCAACCCTGACTTGCCAACCCTGACTTACCAACCCCTTCAATGGCAGATTGTTCAATGGACTCCAGCAATTGTCTCTTGAAGGCATTTTGAAACTGCCTCTCTTTTTCTGGGTCGTACTGTCTGTCTGTGATTGGTCCAGCCAGAATAAAGACATTTTCTATGGCCACGTGAATGTCTGATGAAAACAGCTTGGTCCATTGGATGTCTATCTTTAGGTGACCTGAAATATGAAAAAAAATTAGCCTAAAGTAAGAGATTTAATAAATCTTCATTCTAGGACAATGCCCACCAACCTATAATAGGACAGTGCCCACCCACCTATACCAGAACAATGCCCACCCAATGCCCAGATAGGATGTTTTCCTGTCACTTTTGATCTTAGAATGGTAAAATAGCCATATATATATATATATATATATATATATATATATATATATATATATATATATATATATATATATATATATATATATATATATATATATATATATATATATATATATATATATATATAAAGCACTAGACAGAACAAAACAAAAGCTAAACAATACTCACCAATATGGCCTGCCTTCACTTCCACTGGAAGATTGAGTTCAGTCTGCAAGTTTAGAAAATAGTGTTTTTACATATATGCTTTGATCTACCCCCCCTCCCAATCTTGAAGAAGATTGTCTGGAAGAAGCCTCTCTTCTCTATCCCTCCCTCCCATCCCACCAGAGGTGCATGCATACAGCCATTTATCCACCACTACAATCAACTAGTGACAGTTATTTTATATAACTCTTTCTATATCTAGACTATATTGAATGAAAAAGAAAGATTGTGCAATAACTATTGATTGATAGTATTGAGCATGTAAGAATGCATCATGAATAATATAATATACATAGGGCCTATAATTATTATATAATTATATAATTAGGGGTCATCCGTAAGCAGTATCACACTTATTAAAACGATTTTTACCCCCCATCATCCCCCATTAATCGACCATAATACACCTCAGCAGCTATCTAAAAATGTACCAGCACACTATCTGAATACCATCATCCGCTATTCACACATCCTCACAACACCTCCCTCCCTCATCCCCCTCCCCCCCCTCAGCGTGTGGCATTGGCATTTATGGATGACCCCTTTGCTTAGAGAGCCTAAAACAAATTGTAAAAGAAGTCTGCTAGAGATTTAATTTATTAAGGAAGTGCAATCTTCAAGTAGACCTATATCTCACTTTTTTTTTTTTTACACTTCAACCACATACCTCTAGGCATGGCTATTCAAAAAGATAGATATAAATATATTTTTTGAAAACCAGGCTATAAATAAGAGGAAATGCATTACCAGGGCTTCCGGTCTGAGCTGTAGGTCTGTAAGCTCGATGTCCCCTGTAGGAAGAGAGAAATCAGAGAGCTGTTATGTTAGAATGATTTCGCTATTTCAGATTCGCATTCAATCACGCGGCTTATTTTTCTTTCGCACGATAAATATCATAATAATTTCCTCTCTGACACTCGTGGGTGTGGAACTTGGTGTACAAAAAAAAAACAATAACACTGGCTCAGTGTCAGTTAGATAAATTCATATTTCATAAACTTCTGTTACGTTTTCCGTTGTTACCCTGGTCCTAAACCTCAAAGTAGCAATGACCCCATGGTTAACCATCGCCTTGACCTTGACCCTGACCCTAAACCTCAACGTAGCAATGACCCCATGGTTCACCATCACCTTGACCCTAACCCTAAACCTCAACGTAGCAATGACCTCATGGTTGATCATCGCCTGGACCCTGACCCTAAACCTCAACGTAGCAATGACCTCATGGTTGATCATCGCCTTGACCTTGACCCTGACCCTAAACCTCAACGTAGCAATGACCCCGTGGTTGACCATCGCCTGGACCTTGACCCTAAACCTCAACGTGCAATGACCTCATGGTTGATCATCGCCTTGACCATGACCCTAAACCTCAACGTAGCAATGACCTCATGGTTGATCATCGCCTTGACCTTGACCCTGACCCTAAACCTCAACGTAGCAATGACCTCATGGTTGATCATCGCCTTGACCTTGACCCTGACCCTAAACCTCAACGTAGCAATGACCCCATGGTTGACCATCGCCTTGACCATGACCCTAAACCTCAACGTAGCAATGACCTCATGGTTGACCATCGCCTTGACCCTGACCCTAAACCTCAACGTAGCAATGACCTCATGGTTGATCATCGCATTGACCTTGACCCTGACCCTAAACCTCAACGTAGCAATGACATCATGGTTGATCATCGCCTTGACCTTGACCTTGACCCTAAACCTCAACGTAGCAATGACCCCATGGTTGACCATCGCCTTGACCATGACCCTAAACCTCAACGTAGCAATGACCTCATGGTTGACCATCGCCTTGACCCTGACCCTAAACCTCAACGTAGCAATGACCTCATGGTTGATCATCGCCTTGACCTTGACCATGACCCTAAACCTCAACGTAACAATGACCCCATGGTTGACCATCGCCTTGACCTTGACCCTAAACCTTAACGTAGCAATGACCCCATGGTTGACCATCGCCTTGACCCTGACCCTAAACCTCAACGTAGCAATGACCCCATGGTTGATCATCGCCTTGATCTTGACCCTGACCCTAAACCTTAACGTAGCAATGACCCCATGGTTGACCATCGCCTTGACCTTGACCATGACCCTAAACCTCAACGTAACAATGACCCCATGGTTGATCATCGCCTTGATCTTGACCCTGACCCTAAACCTCAACGTAGCAATGACCCCATCATTGTCCATCGCCTTGACCCTGACCCTAAACCTCAACGTAGCAATGATCCCATGGTTGACCATCGCCATGACCCTAACTATAAACCTAACTGACCCTAATAGCAATACCGATAGAAGAAAAATTCATTATTATGATGATATATTGTCTTAAACGTATTGATTTCCTAAGAAGTTTCTTTTTTAGATAAATATCTTCCAAATTGTTTAATCATATTCAATGAAATGGTTTTTGTTAGCATTCAATAGTATGACTAACTTTTCTATTTTCTATAATCTATAGTGTTGTAGGTTACATGTTTTCTTCTTCTTCGTCGTTCTAAACATATTTTATACTGAAGGAATCATACAACAAGAACAACATCGTGGATGAACTGCACGGTCGTCTCCGACTTGCAAACTCCGCATACCATATCTATGGGGTGTTTTGGGGCCAGAGTCTAGAGTCTAGACGGTCTTGTGTTAGAACATGTGTAACACATACAGTGGTTACCAGTCGGCGGGGGGGGGGGGATAATTTATAATTTATTTGGTTGCGGCCCCTATGGGACCGCAACTGTTGATGTATTTTTTTTTTCTGTGAGCGATGTTCCCCATGTTCCCATGTCATGTGACCTGGGACCCTGGGTAGTTGTTCCTGTGTCCGCGGCATTCAAACCCCAAGCTGCGAATGACAAGGACCGTCCAGTTGTTTAACTTGGTTATGTAGACCTAACGATACAAAGGTATTGTAAATTATATTTTATATTACTTGTTTTTCATCATACTAGGGCCGCATGTTGCGGACTAGCTATGTGAAGTCTTTTACTTAAATTACTTGTGTTGTGTTATTCCTACTGATGCCGCATGTTGCGGACTAGATCTAGTTAGGTGAAGTATTTACATTGAGAATACTTGTTTGCAGTATTGTATACTGGCCGTAAGCTTCTATTTTATGACACCCATGTATTTATGCTATAGCCCACACGTGGTAGTGTATTGTTTGTTTACATTTGTTTTAGGGCTATATACTGTACATTACTGTACAAATACTATACATTGATTTGAAAAGCAAGGCCTTCAGATAGATACTCCGCCTACGAGTACCAACTTATATATAGTCCAACGTCTCCGTTTTTTATGTTCTATATGCATATTCATACATAAACATAAGAATTATGGAAGCCATAAAGCGTTAGAGTGACATAAAATCAGCTATAGACGTTGTGTAATGATCTACTGAAACGTGTTGCGCATGTGAAAATGCCGCTTAAAATGGCGGCCCGATCTAAGTTACAGACAACCAGACCTAAAAATAGACAATTTTTTTCATAATATCAGGCTCATAGATGTCTTGCACGGTGGAACAATTTTTAAAAAAAAAAACGCACAACAACAAAGCATATTTTGATAGGGTATTTTATAAAATCGCCAATTCATTATTTATAATAAAAACAATTTTAATGAAAAGATGTTTGATCACGCATATAATACAAAACTGCGCTGTTTACATCGAATTCTAGAAACGGTTTAATATTTTTTTGTCAATATATTTAGTGATTAATAATGGCAAGTCATAGTTGACGATATGCCTCGGTGGGTAAGTCCGTATCATACAGCAGTATAGAACTAGATATGTGGGCAAGTCCATATCATACAGCAGTATAGAACTAAATATGTGGACAAGTCTATGTCACACTGTAGGAAAGCCCTTTATTTTAGCAGCAGTGTTTTTTCCCATACATCTCTTGGAAGACCCCCCCCCCCCCCCACTTCCAGACGAAATCGAAAAACAATTATAAATGATAAAGAAAATATATACTATAGCCAGCGTATGTCTTCCCCCTCCCCCCCATCCCGCAAAGTTTCTAAAGTAGGCCTACACAACTGGCTATGTAATGTATTCAAGGCATTTGAACTATATTTATCTCCACAGCTATACCAAACATTACATTGTCCATATAGTAAAAGTGCCGTTTTCTTTATCAACACTTCCTCTTTATGGCGCTTCTGCAAGTTTGGGGCAAGAGTTTCTTTCTATCAACAGCTCAATGAAAACGTTTCTTTAAAGAGTTTTCCCGAAAGTTATCGAAATGCCAGCATGAATATTTGATGAAGTTCGCGGGAAGCTAGGAGGGGATTGTGCAAGAATTGTGTGTAATGGTCCTAATACTCTCGCCACAGGAACATTACGTTCAGCCAAACAATGACAACATACGTCCATAGTTTCTTACAGGCATCTCTTCGCCCCCCCCCCCCCCCCCCCCCGAAGAAAGTCTACCGCCCCCCCCCCCCCCCGAGAACGAACATGAATTTATATGGAAAATATATACTTATACCAGTGTCCGCCCCCCCCCCCCCTCCGGAAAATGTAGTCTGCCCCCCCCCCCCTCCCCGAAAATATTAAGTGCCCCCCCCCCCGGAGAAAAAGTCTGAAAGAAACACTGCATACGTCCGTCGGGTAACCACTTACCAGGTAAATGGTCTTAGAACGGTGACAGGACACATGATCTCACGGACAAAGGATATATGGACCAATGATTTCAGGGCTAATGATCTCAGGGCAATTGATCTTAGGACTAAAGATCTCAGACACAAAACGATTCAGGATTTTTATAAATCTAAGAACAAAGGACCTCAAAGACAAACTATCTCCGGGACAAAATATATCACGGACAAAATATCTCAGATAAAATATCTCACAGATAAAATATCTCAGGACAAAATATTCCAGGACAAACTATCTCACTGACAAAATATCTCACGGACAAAATATCTCACGGACAAAATATCTCACTTTTGTTATGTAACCCTTTGTTTCTTGAATCTGACGTTTTTATGTGGAAAAAGTGTCAATAATTTATACCAGCTCGCATTTTTCATGATAACGTTTGTCTGCCACACACTAGTTTGAAACTCCCAAAGGAAAAGCAGCGCGTATGAGCTAATACAGACGGCAATATCAGCTGACAGTAAGATAAGGCTTCTAGAATAATGTTCTAGTATTGGCGAGTAGCTAAAACCCGAGGTCGCCGAAATCTGAGTCGCCAAGACCTGACTCGCCACAACCTGAGCAGCTAAACCTGATTCGTCAAAATCTCGACTCTCCAAGACCTCGATGAGCAAGTCCTAAGTACGCAGTAGTGGTCTGATAGTGGTCCCGAACATTTAACGACTATCATCATCGACAACCCTCATTCACCCCTGCTGGGTTCGGTGAGAGCGGGACATTAACCCTGTGTTAATTACCTCCGGTAGATCCCCTGCCAAGAAAAACTGCAGTAGGACATCGCCGCCCCCCCCTCCCCCTTCCTCATGGTCGATTCAAATTGACCCTAAACCTAACTAGGATAGGGCTAGAGTTCGGTATAGTGTACCAAGCTGGATATGGACATGAATTAGCATACGTATACGTTTTATTCACAAGAAGTGGGGGGGGGGGAGGGAGCTATTACCCGATGAGAAGAGTAGTCAAGGGCGGTATACTGACTTGAACCCGGATTCGTACTCGAGACTAAAACGGTTTAGCAGTCTAGCGCTCTACCGCTAGGCCACTCCGTCCCTCTGATGATATTGGTAGTTTATTTATCAAGCCATGTGTAGCCTATCCTATTATC